GGTTGTAGTTGTACGAAAAAATACACTGAAAAGTGTAGTACTCTACATAAGCTGAAAAGTGTAGTACACGTCTCACCACGAAAAATGAATGGGGGTACTGTCGCCATAATAAGTAGGACGAAAACACAACACAACACACTCTAAAGGCAGTGCCGCAGTTGACAAAGGCTCATTGTACCTATGGCCACTTGTGAAGTGTAGGTGCGTGCAAAGTGCTGGCCGGTACCCGACACGAGTCACACAACACCCCAAGGCCTAGCAGCCAGAGCTAGGCGGCGCAGACACCCACATTGCCGTGCTTTTCGCTCAATGTGACTGCAAGCCGTGAATCGCTCATATATCACAGCAATGCGTCCCATGAGTCCGATGCATGCAGTTGTCCTTAAGCTGTCATACACACCTACCATAGGGTATGCTGCTCTCGCGAAGAAGCACCTGCCTAAACAACTATTCGCCTCTTCCCTTCCCATTCCCTCCCGCAAAGGCGGCGACCGCAACAGCAGCGCGGTACCCACAGCATAGCCTACGCCGGCTCAGCACACAACCACAAGCGGGCGGCGGCGGCGGTAGAACACGGGGGTGGCCCAGCAGCAGCAACTCGGAGCGAAACGGCAGCCCAGCGGCAGAAAACGAAGAGGGTTTCCTGCAGGCGTTAGTGAAACGCCCGCCGCTCAGCGCACCGGCCCGCGGAGGAGCGTTTCGGGTAGTTATCGTCGGGAGGCCCAACGTCGGGAAGTCGACGCTGTACAATCGGCTGGCCACCCGGAACAGGGCGATCGTCACGCCCATCGCCGGCACGACAAGAGACCGAAAGGAGTCAACGGTGCGTGCTTGCTCGTAGGATATGGGGGGGGTGCGCTTGTGTTTGTCGACGCCCGAGGGGGGGGAAGGGTTCTCTTTTGCCTGAATGGAACTGTCAAGCTCGTTGTAAAGCGGCACAACTTGAAAAATAAAGTATCACAATCGAAGGCGTTTATTCCCCGGCGGGAAAGGCGTCACCGCCCACCCCCCGCCCTACGATTTGCCGCTGAGACCACCTGGCCAAGCTCTTCGTCACCGTTGCTAAGTATCCATGTTACATCAGCAGGAGACCTCAATCATATTTTTTTGTGCCCGCGCCGATAGTTTTTAGGCCATGGTTCCAAGGACAAATTCATCATGTCATTGCATGCGAAAGTGTTCTTGCTTCCAAGCCTTGTTTCACAGCTCATCGCACCACACTTCATGCGACTGTTCGCAATCGAAGAAGTTGACAAAATCACTCGATACTAAGTCACAGCAGTAGAGTGTGGCGGTCGTTACCCTACTTTGTAGCAGAAGACATATCATGACATGCACTCTACGTCCAAATCTATTGAGAGCAGGTTCCCGACAAGAACGAACCTACCTTCAACTTTCTTGAGGAATACGCTTGACAGGCTTGCAATAATGTCAACGTGCAGACAAGCGTCCCGGGATTCTTGAGACAAGGGTGTGAGAGTTCTTGAATTCCCACTGCACCCAGTGCTGGTGAGGAATGGCAGCATCGCCCCACAGGGAAAGCGACCGTGGGTGCTACTTCTCACCACGACTTTTGATCCCGATGTAGAAACGGGTGGTGGTTTGTGCCGCCCACGCCTGCAACACGCGGTGTGGTTGCTACGCTAGTGGCCTGGATAGCCGGCGAGCTACCAGTAGCCCTTCAGGTAGAGTTCGCGAGCCTATGAGGGTCGATTCATCTAGCTTTCTACCCGTCAGACCCCTGTCTCACAATCGGCACGCTGTTGCTTCTTGAATCCAGATGGGACCATTGACCCCCACATGTTCTTCACACCACTATTGTTATATCATTACCGTATGACACAAGATAACACACCCCCTGGACCGATCTTCAAATATCGATTTCTCAACAGTAGAAAGAGTCACAGCGCCGAAAACGGTGGCGTTGAAGCTGCCTCGTCGAGAGCTTTCCGACCATGTATTGTTTCACTTTTTCATACTACCATACTCTTCGTCGTGGCGTAGTCGAGCTTTGAAAACTGGTCAAGGGGGTGTGTTATCTTGTGTCATATACGGTAATCTGTTGCCACAACCCACACAATACCACTCATAACTGCTGCCGCAGGTGTCCCTGGGGGGTATGACGTTCGATTTCGCCGACACCGGTGGTCTGGAAGATGGTGCAGACGAGCCTTGGAAAGCCCCCCCAGGTATTGGGCAAAAATCAAGGGCCAACGCACGCACACTCTTGTGACAAACAACGGAAGGGAGCGTTCGCCCATTTCCTGCTGTCCCACAAGCATGCATGTACGTTCGGATTAAGGTCGAGCTTCGCGGCTGGGTGGTATCCTGTCGTCATCGATTCCACACCACATGGATATCGCCTCGCCATGCTCACGAGGAGATACATGCTCCCAGCGGAACCAGCTATACGGGTGTTGTTAGGCACGTTCTTACGACCCTCCGTCAGATCCCCATCCAGATCCCCATCAAGGCAACAAAGTTTGCGCTCCTTTGCTTTCAGCATGGCATGTGTGCCCGCATTGCAGCCACCGAGAGCTTACGCCGGTCCTTTTCCCGTCTTGGTGCCCGCGTTTTCTGTGACTGGTTGACGTTTCTCTCGATCGCTTTGGTTTGTGGCTATGGCGGGGGTGGCGGGGGTCTTCAGGGACACCTCATCCCGGCATGCCCCAAGTGGTACTGAAGAAGACCGAGGAGGCGATCGAGGACAGCGACATCGTGCTCTTCATGGTTGATGCTCGACAAGGGGTAACGGAGGCGGATCGCCACTACGCAAGGTGTAGCAACGGCAGCGGCAACAACACTAGAAACATACGCCGTATACCTGGCGTACGAGGATATTGCGCAAAGTTAGATCACGTGATACAGTGCGATGTTGAATCGTAGGAAGTGCTATGTATGAGTTGGTGTGAGGCGGGATTTGCTACCCTTTATTGGACCCAGATGGCTGCGGCTTAGCAGCGTGTTGTGTTACCAAAACGGACGTGTATCGTGTTGTTGTTGTTGCTGTCATCGTTCCTCCCGTCTTCCTTTCCTACAAGGCGGTTTCCTCCATCCACATATTATTGCTGTGACGCGCTGGTTTCAATTCGATCGCCCTTGCGCGAAGTACAGGTTTTGGGAGACTCAGTGCATGCCGATAGCTCCACCCTGGCGTTAGTTTAAGCACAGGTAGAAAGCGAGAGGTCACTTTGCTGGGGTTCTTTTTGCCGTTCTCTTGTAAAACGCGTTGAGGAGGGAATGCCGCCGCCGTCGTTGTAAGCGACCGTGTGCGGCAATGATGAAACGGCGAGACGCCGCGTGTTGTTGGGTGACCTCCATTGGTCGAGGCTGCGATAACTTCGCCATCCGCACATGCCTTGATCATGAGTCCCTGTGATCCCTCCCGCCCGTTCCCCCCCTCTCGCTCGCAAGCCTGCATGCCCGCCTAAGGTTTCTGATCGAGAGAGATGTCCAAGCCAAGAGTGCTGTACCCCCCTTTCCCTCGGGAGTGCATGCCCAATTTTTCACCGCCTGCGTTGTGAACAACCATGTCTTACCGTCCTTTTTACCGTATGAGTTGTGAACAACCATGTTCAACCGTCTTTTTTTACCGTCTGCGTTGCGAACAACCATGTTCTACCGTCTTTTTTTCCGTCTACGTTACGAACAACCAAACCCACGTGCCACGCAACATGAGGTGGGTGCGGAAGCGGCAGGGACGGCACCGCGGAGTGTACGTCGTGGCCAACAAGACGGAGGGACAGCTGACGGAGCAGATGTCCCAGACGCTAGAGGAGTGTGGCAGGTGCGAGCATCGCTCGAAGGCAGAAGTGCTCCTGCGGTCATGACGGCAGCACACCGGATTATGCCTTTGCGGTTCGGCGTGATTCCCTTCAGAAGTTGATTGATCATTGTGTTGCGTGCGTCGTTTTTTTTTTTTTTCTCCCATCATCGGATGCTGTCATCTGCCCCTCTGGCCCCTATCTTCCACTTCTACTAGCTAGACGACCCGACCGGGGTCACATAAGAGGGGGGGGCTGGACCCCCTCCTGCGGTTCCTGCCTGAGGTATTTTTATCCCGAGAAGGGTACAGCAATCCCTTCTCTCGCGACTTATGAAGTCGATTATGGTTTACTAACAACGAGCTTCGCAACGCGTCGCTTTCATCCTAGACCAGGATCTATTAAGTGAGAAAAAAACTCCCTCTGCCGGGACTCGAACCCATAACCTGGCCCTTAGCAGGCTGCGAGGTTACCCACTAGACCACCGGGGCGACCGGTTTCGTCGGTGCAACTGCTTGGTTACGCTGGGTCTTGACCGCTTTTGTGCGCCCCTAGTTCCCGCCTCGACCCCGAGTTAGAAGAGAAAGATCCACCGAGTCCTCGGTTTGATTGAGTGAAATGATGGCTTTTTTCGCACAGGGAATAATCTGCCTCAATTTTTTCGCCTGTTCCGAGAGGGAGGGACACATGGTTTGAGCATGAAACAAGATGGAGAACCTTTCTGTTACGACGAGCAAATGCCTCCCCCCTCCCCCCTTCCCTCCAGCAAACGGCAGGACGATAACCAGCTTCTGGGTCATCCTTGTGAAACGTAGCCTAACGTAGCCTGGGCCGGCGGAAACCGGGACACAACGCTCCGTCCCGACATGATGGGGATGCGAGGTCAATGGTCTAACGACTACGGCATACGTTGACATGAGCAACGCCCCCCTCTGGTCTATCAACTCAGGCATGCAAAACATGAGTACCCCCCCTCTCCCCCCTCCCGGCGCGCTTTGTTGGGACCCTGGAATGTGATTGGCAGGCTGGGGTTCGGCGAGCCGCTCGCAATTTCGTCGTCGCATGGCGACGGCATGGCTGACTTGGCAACAGCCCTGGTCCCCCACTACGTGGAATGGGAAAAGGAGCAGGAGGTGAGGGGGTAGTCACAGCTCTGCCTCTTGAAGATGTTTCATTCACGCCTTGTCTAAGGTTTTAGAGGTACTACTCGTTGATTAGTCGCGGTTGTGCAGCTTGAGGCGGGTATTGCCGCATGTGGTACGGAAAGGGACCGCCTCGGTATGGTTTTCGTCCCATGTTGGTCTGGCTGGTGTACCGTGGCATGCATTGGGTGCGTTGTGAATCATACGCTGTTATGTATTGGTGCACTCGCTAGCTCAGTAGACCACCGGTCGCAGCACAACCAGGCTCACCTGAATACGATGCGATTTTCGAAGTCCAAACGGAGCGTTCCAAGCGTTGGCGCTGCAACGTTGTCTGTCACTGCCAAACCGGAAGTCCACTCCGTCAAAATGCGGGATGTGATGTCTACCACAGCTCCCTCCACAGGGAGTGAGAGTGCAACCTACACGGGGGCGGGGAACTGCGAAACACCTGCCGCCCCAAGCGCTGCCAACGTAACGACCAGCAGACACACAACGATCGAAAGATTTGATGAACAATGTGTGGCAAGATCCATGCGTGCTTCTGTGCGAGATGCATCGAAAAGGAAACCGTAAAGTGGCAGAGAACCGAGAGTTCATGCTCCTCTGCTGCGTGGAATACCTTCGCAGGTGGCAGCCGAGGCGGGGTTGGAGTCCAACCGCCCCCTGTCGGAAGAAGCGGAGGAACCAGTTCAGCTGGCGCTGGTAGGGCGACCGAACGTCGGTAAGTGGACGAGGTGATCTCGTCTAACACGGGATCACGACATCGGCCGGCGAGCCAAGCTATTTGCGCTTTAGCGCGGCAATTGCAAGGCCATCGATTGAAGGGTTCGCCTAGCTTCCGCATGGAGTTTTGATTGGTTGATCTTCCGAACGTGTTGGGGTCTGGCGGGCGCCATCACCGCTCATTCGAATCTTCCCGTTTTTTATCCATGGTCATGAGGTGGTCGTCGCTGCTATCGTTTGTTGCTGTTAAGGGTTCAACCGCCGTTGTTTCCCTTGGTGTTGCTGTTGTGTTATTATTTGTGTTTGTCAACCTCGTCGTCGTTATTGTTGTTGTTGTTGTTGTCATCGTCCTAGCTGTGGCGACCCTCGTCGCTAGTTTTCTCAGTCAGGAAGACCGTCGCTTGTTGGAAGCGTCATCGTTCCTGTCGTTTTGATATTACGATTTTGTCGTTGATGTTGTCATCATCGTTATCACCCTTCGTCCTGACTGCTCCAGGGAAGTCGTCGCTGCTTAACGCGGTGCTGCGCGAGGACAGGGCGTTGACTGGACCGACGCCGGGGCTCACCCGCGACGCGGTGGCGGTGGAATGGACTTGGGGAGGGAGGGCTGTCCGGCTGGTGGACACCGCTGGTGGGTTGGATAGCGGTGTGCGATAGCTTCTGCTGACAGTTTTGCGATGTTTTGGGCCCCTGCGCTGTGTTGACACGTAAGCATTATAGCTCATCGTCAACACTGAATTTTGGCTCGTGGACAAAGAGCGCGAAGAAACAAGCCGCCGCTCGTGTTGCGTAGATGGGTAGGATGAGAAGAGGCTTTTATCGGTGGTGGTGGGAAACTAGAGAGCGGGTTGAAGCGGTTCGGCTTTGAAACAACCCCTCTCTGCAAATGCCTCCACGGCTCGGCAGTTTCCGCGTCCCTCCGTCCAGAGTTGAAAACATAGGCGGGACTAGTGTTAGGAAACATCTGCTTGCGGCGTGCCCATTTTGATTCAACTCTTGTTCGGATAGTGTTTAAGCGGACCAATGGTAGGAAACATGTTGCTTGCTCGCCGCTTTCATTTCAACCCCTGCTCGGATGGTGTTCAAACGTCTGTGCCCCAGGTATTAGGAAAAGCGGCAGCCGCGACACTTCCACTCCCCTCGAAGAGTTGGCGGTAAAAGATTCCATGAATGCCATCCACAAGGCCCAGGTATATACGGGGTATGCTTCTATTGTTTGTAGGTGTTCCGTGGAAGACCTTCCTGGCGAGGTAAACTTTCCGAATAGCCCCCCACGAGCCCGAGAAGTTCGCACGGGACAACCCGGGATGAAACGATCGCCATCGCCATTAAGGCTGTATGATCCTATGTGCGCGTTCGGCAGGCGTAATCACATGTCGTGCATGGTTTTTATATCATGCAGCATGTGTAGTGCCTTACGCTGGCGTGGTTTCCTTGGTTGTTTGGTGTGTGTGCTTGTTCACCTGTGTTGCGAGAAAAGCGAGCTAAAGGATCCCGCTGTCTGTTTCTTGCCTCGCCACTATCCGTGCATGTGTACTCGTAACGTTGCGTGCATGGCATTACCGTGCCTCGAGCCACTGCAGCACCCCTCGCGTTGTATTTAGGGTTATCATGTGGCGTTATTTCGCGCATGTCGTTCTCTCGATCGGCTGCTGGTACGAAAAGCCATGCCACAGCCGCACCAGCCCCGACACGCCACCGTCGCCCGCAGGTGGTCGTGCTGGTCCTTGACGGCTCTGAAGGCATGCTTCGAAAGACAGAGCTGTCCATCGCCTCCATGGGTAAGTCAGCCGCTCTTGAAGACAAGTTTGTTTCTTTCATACTGTCCTCCCATGGTTGTTTTTTGTCAAAATCATGCAAGACAGAGACGGTCCCTTCCATGGCTAAAGCGGCAGGAAAACGAGGGCGCATGAGTTTTCAACGCCATTTGTGTTTCCTTCTCGAAATCGTGGCCGCAGCTTTTCAAATCTCGAACAAGTTTTTTTCCGCAAACACACGTTTTCCCATGTAAATCTTTCTCGCTCTCTCTCATCCTGTTTGTCTGTCTGTCTGTCTGTCCGTCTACCTGCCTTTGTCTCTCTCTCTGCCCCTCTGCATTGTCTCTCTGTCTGTCTGTCTTTACTCTATCTATCTCTCCCTATATCGCTATCCCTCCCCCAAGTCGCGACGGAGGGTCGGGCGCTGGTCGTGGCCGCAAACAAGTCCGACCTTTCCGGGGTGTCCCCGGGGGAGTACGCGAAGGGAGTGATCCGACAAGTGGAGGATCTTATGCCGGACGTTCGGGCACCACCGGTCTTGTCGGTGTGTGCTCTAGACGGTAAGCATCACAACAAATTACTTCTTACCGTGTCTAGACGTTAAGCATCACAATATTTTACTTCTTACCGTGTCTATTATAGACGGTAAGCATACATAAATTACTTCGTACGGTGCCAAGACGGTAAGCATCACCTACTGTGTTTGGCTTTCTGGCCCACCTATGATTCCACTTCATTCTCTGCACGTTGACCCCATGTATCCTAGAAATGGACGGGTCGTCGTTAGCATGCTTAATTTGGTGCTTTCATGGTGTGGCATTCCAATGACACATAGGATACAAGTTGTCGAGATACTATTAGGCAAAGTCGGAGGACAACAGAAACCAGCTCAACTGGCATGATGTGAGCACCCCTCAGCGCGTGTGCAAGGTGAACGCACGCTTTATTGGCAAGGTGCTCGTCCAACAATGTCTTCAGGCGTGCCGATCCGAGAAATGGTACGACACCTGTATTTGTAGAAACCCCAAGGAGTTGTGACCCCAGAGTGTCCCCTCCCTCAGGCGACAGCAAATTACTTTCTCTGAGCCACTCACGCCGCTTTTTCCCATATTCTCCGTCTCCCACCCGCGCGCTCGCTCTAGACTTAAGTGGGTTGGCGCTGTTGGCAAAGCGCTGTAAAACACGCCACCCCAAATATAGCCCCCATAGTATGCGCTACCAAAAACGCGTGACGCATGGATGAGTGGAGTGAGGATAGCTGTTTACGGAAACCTCACAGGTTGAGTGATGTAGGAGATTACCGGACACATAGACGTGTTGAGCGAGGATAGCTGCAAACTGAAACCCTACGGGTTGAGTGATGTTGGAGTGCCGGACACCTAGACGCGTTGAGTGAGGATAGACACATACTGAACCTCACAGATGATTTGTGATGGAGAATGCCGGACACCTAGACGTGTTGAGTGAGGATAGCTGCGTACTGAAACCTCACAGANCGAGGATAGCTGCAAACTGAAACCCTACGGGTTGAGTGATGTTGGAGTGCCGGACACCTAGACGCGTTGAGTGAGGATAGACACATACTGAACCTCACAGATGATTTGTGATGGAGAATGCCGGACACCTAGACGCGTTGAGTGAGGATAGACACATACTGAACCTCACAGATGATTTGTGATGGAGAATGCCGGACACCTAGACGCGTTGAGTGAGGATAGACACATACTGAACCTCACAGATGATTTGTGATGGAGAATGCCGGACACCTAGACGTGTTGAGTGAGGATAGCTGCGTACTGAAACCTCACAGATGCATTGGTTTCTGAGTTTGCCAGACACATACACGCGTTGAGTGGGGATAGCTGCATACTGAAACCTCACAGATGGATTGGTTTTTGAGTTTGCCAGACACATAGACGCGTTGCGTGGGGATAGCTACATACTGAAACCCCACGAGTTGAGTGATGTTGGATAGTGCCAAACACATAGATAAACGCTTTGAGTGAGGATGGCTGCATGTTGAGACCTAACGGGTTGAGTGACGCCTGCGACTGCCGAACACATAGACGCATTGAGTGACGAAAAGACACATACTTAAACCTCACAGGTGATTTGTATCGGAGATTGCCGGACACATAGACGCGTTGAGTGGGGATAGCTGCATACTGAAACCTCACAGATGGATTGGTTTTTGTGTTTGCCAGACACATAGACGCGTTGAGTGGGGATAGCTGCATACTGAAACCTCACAGATGGATTGGTTTTTGTGTTTGCCAGACACATAGACGCGTTGAGGGGGGATAGCTATACACTGGAAACCTCACGAGTTGAGTGATGTTGGATAGTGCCAGACACATAGACGCTTTGAGTG